TCAATTGACTTGTAAGTTAAAAATAAAATAGGGGTCCTCCATGGTGGTATAAGGGGTTAAGTCTCAGCACTACGCAGCCACTGCAGCATGAGTTCTATGCCCAGCCAGGGAGATAACCCACATGGAGCAGCAGACCTCTGTCTCACCCGCTGCATCCCTCAGTAGTGTATTTCAGTGGATCTGGCTGTTCTGCTCCCTACTCTGTGTCTGGTGAATCCTCTCACGCCTCTCCCACCTCTCTGGCCTGCACCCCAGCCCTTGTATGCACAAATAAATAAATCTTTAAAAAAAATAGGGCTAGCAAGTGATGTAAGGAGTGACAGGTATATTTATATCTCATCCCCCAGTATGACTTTCACAATTAAACCCATACAAAAAGAAGTGGGGTAGAGAGTGTTTGTGGTTCAAAGAACTGCTGAATTTGCAAGATATTATAAATACAATCAGAAATAATTGTGCTACTAGAATTTAATTTGTTTTTAAGTAACTACTCTGGAACTATCTCAGGCAAGGAGTTTGCTCTAAGTTAGATTCTCTTTGTTTCTCTCTCTCTCTGTCTCACTCACATGCACACACACACACACACACACAGGCGCACACATGTGCCTACTTGGATATTACTGCATTTTTATGAACAACTAAAATCTGTGAAAGAGACCTTTGGAAAATTGATCAGCCACCTGACCACCTTGGTCAAATTGATTATGTGTTCATATGGGTGTTTAGCAATGACCAATTTTTTTTTTTTTTTTTGTGGGACCCTCGCCGGTGGCCGGGGATCAAACTGGTGCTGCAGAGGCTGCGGGCAGCCTCGCAACCCAGCACTCAATCGCTGCACCACCAGGGGAGGCCCAGCCAATATTTTTTAAGTGTCATGGAAAGCTAAAGAAGAGAGTCTTTAGAATTCACAAGCCCCCAGATTCAGCTTGCAACAAATGTTCCAGCCTAAGTATTTTTCAAAACTTGCATGGAATATCAAACAAAATAGAAACAAGTAATCAGTTTATTATGGAAATTATAGTGAATCTCAAAATATCTTTTAAAAGAAATATACCACAGACTAAAGCATGTTAAACCTTTATGATATTAAACCAAAATATATGAACCTAATTTTTATTAGTTCAGAGCATTCACTGAAATAAGTTTTTCATTCCTTTTTTACACAACACCATTCATTTTACCCCCTTGATCTTTCTCCCTCTCTTCGCTATCTTATCCTCAGAAACATCAATGTCTGCTAGTTTGTTCTGCTATTTTGTTTCGTTAGCTCATCCACTTTGCTTTCTTATAGTACTCATATTTGTGAAATCATCCAACATTTGTCTTTATTGTTCTGATTTACTTCATTTCACTTAATACCTCTCAAGTTCATTCCCTTTTGTCATAAATGGTAACATGTCACCTTTTCTTACAGCTGAATAGTATTCCACTGTACATCCATTCCACAATTTGCTTGTATGAGTCTAACATTTTTACCTTCTAATTTTTGCTTCCAAGATTGAATGAATGATTTTACTGATTTTTCCAGACCATCAAAAAAGGAGCTAGAATTTGAGGATCTGAATTTTGTTGTGCATTTGAATCATCTGGGGAGATTTTAAATAATGCCAATGCCGTTACCCACTTCCAGAAATTCTTAATTTAATTTGCCTGGAGTGGAATGCTTCCATTGGGGCTTTTGTAAGTTATGCCAGGTCATTTCAATGCTCAGCTAGAGTGGAAAACCATAGAGCTAAATAAGTGGGCTTGGTGGTTTGAATTAATTCTTTAAAAGTGCCTTAGGAATAATGTAAGTTATGAAAATCATGGACAAACCAATTCAAGTAAATCTAAGGTTTATTTGTAGTTAAATGAATTACCTAGTTAATTTAAGAACCTATTATCCATAAATAGCATGATTGAATACAAGATGTGGGATGAAAACACAAAACTGCTGTCTTTAGGAAATGAAAGAAAAAAAACCACAGGGCAAATTCTAAGATCCAAAAAGGTCCTACCACAATTCTTTATTTGCACTGGATTGGTAACTGGAATTGTTTACTCATTAGCTAATATAGTCATAAGGCCAGAATTGTTTTATAAAAATACTTCTTTTTCTTGGTTGATGTTTCACAGGTAAATAACAAAGAGAGTACTTGGGGAAAAATACTGTTCAATGTTAAAATTAAGACCACACTTAAGGAATTGCAAAATTAAATTAGATTATTCTAAAATGGGCCATTAATAAGACATAAAATACAACAAAATGGAAGCATAAAAATAGCCTTTTTCTTAATTATTTACTTGTTTTATAATGCATTAACTCACTGTCTCTTACAAACATTATACTTCAAACTTTAGTTTATTTTATGGTGTTTTTATCTATCCAAAATGTAAGGTTGAAATCACTATTTGACAATCTTATTTACTATCTCAATTTTAAATTTTGTGTCTAGAATTGTGATGATTGGTGCAAAAATTATGCAATACCACATCCACCTGTTCTTTCTAGCAACACATCCTTTCATATTACCTAAGACTCAGAAATTCTTAGTTCACATTTATTATTTGAACTGGTCATTTAAATAAATAACTGATGTTCTGGGCCTCCCTGGTGGCGCAGGTGGTTGAGTGCCACGCTGTGAAGCTGTCCGCAGCCTCTGCAGCGCAGGTTCTATCCCGGCAGGCCGGCCAGCAAGGGCCCCGTGTGATGCGGCAGACCTCTCCTGTCTCACCCCCTGCTCCCCTCAGCAGTGTATTTTGTCAGTCTGCCTGTTCTGTTCCCCGCTCTGTCTCTGGTGAATCCTCTCACCCTCCCGTGCATCTGGCCTGTACCCTAGCTCTTGTATAAATAAAATAAATCTTTTAAAAAAAAAGACAAGATTAAAAAAAAGAATTTATAAAAAAAATAACTAAATAAATAAATAACTGATGTTCTATTATAGTATAGAAATACTCTTGTGTATATATAGTCTATATGAAGAGCCAAAATTAGTACATTTGAAATAAAAACATTTGATTATATATTTTTTATATTTATCTAAAATGTGCAAATGTATTCTACCATCCTGCTATTCTTGGAGAGAGATATATATATATATAATATATGTATATTTTTGATATATATATATTTGTCCAATTTTTCATGATTATAAAAGCTGCTCTTATCACATGGAAAAAATTAACACATTGGACAAGGAATTAATATCCTTAATATGTAAAGATAGTTTATACCTCAAGAAGAAAAATATTGCCATATCAGCAAATAAATGCAACAACATGATACAAAAACAAATAGGATAAACTAACAGAAAATATAGACAATTCTAAATGCAAATAAATATGAAAAATAATTTCCCCCTTTAAATGGTCAAATATTTAAAAATAGCAGTTTGAAGGGGAGAAAAATATGGATAGTGTAGATATTTGGATAGAGATCTGGATAAAGTATAGTAGAGTGTTTAAGAGTACAGGCTCCAAACAGGGAGAACTGGATGCAATTCTGATTGAGCAGATATTTCCCAGTTATTTGGCTATAAATAATAACTGATTTCCCTCAGTCTTAGTTTCCTCAGTTGTAATATGGAAATAATAACTGTACCTGAATTTTTTGAAAATTAAGTAAAATACAGAAAATACATAAGTCTTTTAATATATAGTAATCTCTTAATAAATTGGAAGCTATAACTCTTAGTTATGGCAAGAATAGATGAAACTAGGTATTATAAGAGGTACCTGGGAGGGTAAATTGCTATAATTTTTCAAGAATGTAATTTGGCTATAAGTATCCAAAGTGTTCCCTAAGTCCATACTCATTGAATCATCAGGATGATTTTTAAGAAATCAGAGATTTGGTCAAAGATACAAATGCACACCTATTCATAATACACATTTATACTTGAATGACAAATGTTACAGGAGAAAGCCATATAGATATTAAATTATAGAGGTTTCAAACTGCAGAAATAAGAATATACATTCATGAAAAGTAGATTCCATGCCATAAATTGTGGGAAATATGTGTTGGGGAGAAAAATATAGATGGAGGGGAGTTTATTATTCCTAATTCTCTTCCATTATGCTGTGTTTTTCTAACTTTGGAGGCTACCAAATTGAGCATCCCTCATTCGTGGGAGTGCCTGAAATGAATGTATGAGCTCACTCTTTTCTTAAAGATAACTCCTTTATAAACTATATTTTTTTCCCTGCTCACATTTACCACTTTGTCTGATGAAGAAAACATCATTCAATTATTCTTGCCCTTGATTAACACAAAATTAAAAATTTCTTTACAGAACTTTCTTATCACTTTTGTAATAACAGATAAGAAATATCTCTTATAAGAGGTTTCAAAATTATATTTTTTATCTTTCAGCCCCAAAATTGTAGAAGTGGCCAAACATGCAGGGAACATAGTGACTATATCTGAGTTAATTTTCCTTTGCCTACATGCTACTCACTTCGCAAAATTCACTCGGGGATCAAGGTAGGTGCTCGGTGAGTTAAAGAGAATTCCTACAATGAGCTGAAATTGAGGTACTGAGCTCTCTGATTCAGAAGATACCCCAGAGGTATTATGGGGCATCCTTTGACCTTCTAGAGAAAAAAGGACAAGTTTGATATTTGAATCCAAAGAGGAAATCACAAGGCCAGACAATCTGAGGAAGAGATGGTTTGTGATCAAAGTGCTGTCCACAAGGGAAATTTTATACCACTGTCCATACTGACAAATTCCAAGAATTTACCCATTTAACTACCTTCTGTTTCTGAACAACACAGAGTAGTCCAGGTAGTTCTTTCTTTTTTTAAAAATAAGGCATAATTGGCTAAGTGTGGTATGGTGATATGTACCTTCAGGGTATGATCCCATACCTCTAAGTCATACACAGGATTGTAAACCAATGTTACCTCAATAAAAATAAATTATGCATGACTTTATACTATTTTCTAAAATAAGTCTGGTTCACATCCTAATATCATATGGAAATGGGTAACAATGTTCAACTATATCTTACATTTACCTCTTTGGAAGCAAGAGTTTCATGTTCAGGAATAGTCACCATTGGATTACTCAGCTTCACAGAAAAGATGCCCAGGACATGATCAGAGGTAGGAGTGGGAAGAAATAAATGTTCAAATGTCATCAAAATAAATAAACAATGTAATAAGCATATTTTGCTGATCATAATAAATTCTAACAAGTATAACTATTAAGATTTAATTGTTATGAAACACTAAGAAACATATTCTTAACACAAAAATGTTTGGCAGATGGTGAACATTGAGCATGTGATCACATATTATTTATCTTTGTGTTCTACACAACCTCTAACAGTGCTTGGCAAATAGCATGGACAGTTATTAAATGTTTATTGATTGAATGTATTGTTAAAACACATTGACAGGCATCATAACGAGAAAATGGGGTTATATATATATGTTTCAGTTCTTACAATAGCTTGAAATAAAAAATTCCCAAAACAAGACATACCATGCTCAGATCCACGGAATCAGTGGATCTATAGAAAGTAAAGCATGGTGCATTATTGTAAATATTAATAATCTCAATACACAGGGATTTCATAAACAGTGCAACCTAACCAGGCAATGTTTTATGGTTTACAATACAGTGACACTTTAACAGAAGGGAGCTTATTTTGCTTAGCTAGGATTTTTTTTTTTTATTGTGTGCATGTGCTGGGCACTAGACACACAATTAAACTTATTTAGAAGAAATTCATAGATATAGAGGAGGAGACAGACAGTGTGAAGGACACACACAAAGAGAAGGAAAGAGTAATCATTTGCAATAAATATGTTTTTAATCTTCCCCTCCTTTTTAAACTATCTCTTCTCTCTCCAACTTTAGGGTATCTATAATGTCTGTTTTGCCAGGAATGTTCTCTGTTTTTGCTATTGTCTTAGGAAAACCAGGGTTATGTAAATGGCTAACCTTCTTTCACTTTCAGTAAGGTACAGATTTGGCCAATTAATCAATTAAAATTATGAAGTAGCTCCACATATTCCAGTGCAATTCAGTGGATCCCAGCATTTTAGCTTGTTCTAGAGGACACCAAAAGTGGAGGATGGGATGGCCAAGAGTTCCCTCCTCATATTTCCTCAGGCTTCCCTCTGTTCTAGCAGATTTTAAAGAATGGAATCTGATTTTACTTAAAGCAACAGCTTCACCAAACACCAGCCATTACACTGTGTTCCCAACTATGAATTCCTTTGGGTATCATAATATCAGGATTCCTTCTAGCTGCTTGAGATCATGGCTTTAAATAGGAGGTATGATTTTGCCCCGGAGCCAAGTAGAAATCTAAATTGCATTCCTGAAATCAGCCAAAGCACCACTTTCTCCCGTTTATCAGATACCTCTGAGATCCTAACCCTGGCTTAGGTTCAGACTCCGTGAACTGCTTCAAACTTCAGATACAGGTGGGTTTTAGGGACAGCAGACTCTTTAGAATACCGAGGCTAAGTGGCATGATAATTATATGAATGATCACAGTGTGTACAAAGTCAAATTTTCATTCACCTAATTTCCTAAAATAGTATAAATATCCTAAAATTTGAAAATGTTGAAACATTCCCAAAGAAATGTTCAACTGAGATTGAAAAGCAATTAATTACACATGTACTTTTACAAACTATCCCTTCTTTTCAATGTAGGTATTTACTCATTTGAATCCATTTCATTTTAATCTTTAATTTCAAAAGCTTTGTGTTAATTACCATAATCACCAAAAGAGAATAGAAAATGATTCTAATTAATTGGTAATCCCTAAATAATTTATATTTGACTTTGGAATGCTTTCTTCTATTTATAATCTCTTATCACAGTAAATTTATCCTTTTATATTTTTGTCCTGAGATTGAAAAAATATACACATTATATTAATATCATGAAAATTGATGGATTTAATCATAAGAATTTATTATGCTCTTACATGATACATTATTATATGTATTAGCTGATTTACTTTTCACAGTCCCCTGTGAGGTGAGTACTAATATTACTCTGTTTCACATATAAGGAAATTAAAGCACTGAGAGACAGCATAACTTATTCAGAAATGGTAAGTAGCAGAGCCATGAATGAAACCCAGGGTGATAGCCTCCAGAATCTTCTTGCAAAGTCAGTGTGAAGTGGTGATATGCCACTGAAAGACAGCGCAAGAAAGGGGAGGGGAAGGCAAGGGCAGGGAGGTATACCATTTTGCTGAAGAAAAACCAAGTACTGAAGGCAAGAATGTCCCGTTCAGAGATAGGAAGCAGTTCAGAAGTGGCTGTTGTAGCTCTAAAAGGTCATACAGGAGACACATGCTTACATGTCAGGTGATGGATCTGGGCTTCATTCTCTAGGCAGTAGGAAGCCACTTTAAGCTAGAAAGGGGCATGTGCGATCAGATTTTCATATTGAAAAACATCACTGTGATTGATGTGCAAAATATGGATGGCAAGGGACAGGGGAGGCTATTTAAGGGGATATGTGTGTGGGAGGCCAGGGGGGAGAGAGAGAGAGAGAGAGAGAATAAGGAAGATTTAAATTAAAGCATTGTCTTGAGAACTGAATAGATGAGTTTTTCTCAGTGACTTTTAGATCCCTACTCTGTAGGAAGACTGAAAAATGAAGAGACACTGATTATTTTGTTGATTAGGGAAGAAAATTTGGGAAATGACAGAGATAAATAATATTGAATGTCAATAGATCTGCTGAATGCAAATATTTGGTAATGGATGTGGGCTAGAGATGTTAAGTGGCTAGAACAAAACAATATGGTATGAAAATGAAAATCCTCTCACAGGCAGGATGGACGAGATGAATGAAAATACTAAGATGAATTCTATCTAGGTGAGCTGCTATCCAAAGAGAACACAAATACTGAAGGACTAAGCCACCCAAGCTTCCTTACTAAGTGGTAAGTTTTCTGGAGAACAAAATTACTATTTTTTTATCAAAAAGAAATGAAAACCTGGGAAAGTTTCTAATTTTATCATCAGAGAACCTGGAAGGTTTAATGTGATGGAAAGCTCAGGTGAAACAAGAAAATTCCAAAAATTTATCCTGGATGCAAGTACTAGTCCTGATCATGTATAACTGATAAATTAAACCTTTGCTCACTCACCATCATGGGCTAATCAGAAAGTAGTTTTTGAAAAAAAAAATGTTCAGTTGGTTTTTATTACTCTCTTGCTCCTAGCTGCCACCAAACTAATAAAAATCTTTGTGGATTGTTCGTTACCAGTGTGGGGCATCCTTAAAAATGTCACTGCTTCTCTCAAAGGTAATGTGAACATCTCTCACAGACAGATGGATTTCCCTCAAACCAATTGTAGAAATGAGAACATTTCTATCAGAGATCAGATTTTCATATCTAAAATCATCACTGTGATTGATGTGCAAAATATGGATGGCAAGGGACAGTTGGAGGTTATTTAAGGGCTTATTTAAGGCTATATATATATATACATACATACATATATACATACATATATATACATACACATACATATATATACATACACACACACACACAGAGAGAGAGAGAAGGTGGGGAGAGAGAGAGAGAGAAACCAAAAAGACAATATGTAAAACATGGTTAAACCACTTAATTATGTTTTTAATCTACCTGAGAAATAGAACCCAAATTTCTAGCTTTTGTGAAACCACTCTCCCTTCTGTGAGAAGATGAAGTAGGTTTTCTTATTTGCCAGAAATTATGAAACTGAGGAATGTAAGAAATGTTAACACTTGAAAATCGCCTCGGGTGCTACACATGTTATTCAGAATTCACTTTGGAATTGCTTTTTGCTGAGTGGCATCCTCATATAAACTTCCTTCACTTCACTTGTCTTCAGAAAGCTGTAGCTTCTACTTCTGTCTTCCCACCTAGAATTGTGAACTCATTCAGCTGGAGCATAACCTTCTTAAGAACATCTCTCAAAAAATAGACATGACAAAATAGACATAAAATAGTGTGTTCCATAAGTCTAATGTCATTATGAGACCAGAAGCTACTGAAAGGCATGTGGATTATGGTTAATTTGTCTTCAGGTCTTCTTTGTCTGTCTTAAGACCCTCTCAGCACAAGGTACATACTAAATAAGTACTTACTGATTAAACTAATGAAAAAAAAAGAATAAATGATATACAGAAGGAGTTTTCTGACTTGCAAAATAAAAGAACTGTGAGTTAGTGAATAATTAGAAGTGTTTACTGCATTTCCATATAAGAGTTTGTATCCTGGAGAACTTTGAACTAGAACATGTGTGTTCTGTTTGATTCTTACAATTTTTTTGCTGGAAAAAATAATTGAATTTAGTTGTCCATGTTTGAATTCTTAGCTTCCACATGCAAGTTTAAAGTTCTGCTTCTCTTGAACTCTTAACGGGCCTTGCATTACTAGACTGGCAATCATCTAGATTTATACAGCAATATTTCCCCTTCAGTGAAGCTAAAGGTCTCTATGTCAACACAGTACCTATCACTTCCAATAAGAGGAGGTCAAGAGTTTGAGGTCAGCAATTTTCATATCTATATCTGGTTTCACTCATCTTGGGGATCTACCTGACAGAAAAAAATCTGAGTATTTAATTCCTGATTTACAATATATCTGAACACACAAAAGTACCTGGGGAATTTAATAAATTTCTGTTTCTAACAGTAGGTCTAGAGGGGGATGATGCCAGTGCTACCCCTGGTTGATTGGTGAAGCCATTGGTGACATTTTTGTATGAACTGCTGTAATTAATGTTTTAAATATTTGTCTGTTCACTACTGTAATTAACTATGTTCGAAATGACCTAAACAATTAAGTTATACTGCAGTTGTATAATTAAATAATCTATCACAGATGTTTTTCATTACATACCTGCTATGGTGCCAGGCATTTTGTAGATGTTAGGGAGATAATAGTGAACGGAAAGATATCAGAGACTAGAGTATAGTGGGAGAGACAAATATTCATTATATCATCAGGATAGAGAAATATGCCCAAAATAATATGTTATGAAGTAAAAGTTCAGAGTACCATTGGGGTTCAGAACAGATAAATCTGACCTAGTCTAG